AAAAGAGACAGACGGACACAAAGGTAGAAAAAAGGTGAGGTGAATACTCTGGAATTATTCGAATATGAAATTCAATGGAGTCATGGTAGTTTGAAGTCCGAAGTCAACTGCCAGTTAATGGACTTTTTTGCCGTATGAGTATACGTTGTCTTTAAGTAACTTTTCCTCTTAAATTATACCTTGTTGCCTTGTAATCATCGCTACACCTTGAGGAGCAATCTTCCGTCTGGTGTCTTAATAACCTTTTATCCTCTATAGTGATATCTTCGATGCAATGTTTCCTCTTCATCGCAGTAAAGGCGATATAATCATCAAACAAGGCGATGAGGGTGATAACTTCTATATTATTGATCAAGGCGAAGTTGACGTAAGTAGTGTCAAATTTAAATATCCATTCAATGTTTATATTAATATATTCGTTCATTTATTAAGATGGCACATGCTAGACTACCCGGGCTAGAGGCTACATAGTTATGATGCTATAATACGAGGAGGGAATGATGAAATGTCATGTTTTACTTCTAATGCATAACACTGTTAATGATATTTCAATGTGTGTCAATTTAACAGAAAATTGAGCACTTGAAATATTCTGTGGAAACGTGGTATATTGATTTCACCAATTGCTTTCTTTCATGTGAACATTCGCATACAATTAGAATCCTTGAATCCACTGTTTTGCTCGAATTCTCTATAGGCAGAAATTTGTTTGCTTTCTAGACGAGAATCGACATTTTTGACTGAGCTATAGCAGGCTGGTCAGTTCGCCAACCTGGTGTCTTGATTTATTGGCTTTAGTAATGACTTTGTGCAAAATGTCATTGGAGTCTTGTGCTTTCTTTGTATTTTAACCAAGCAGAATTTAAAGCCTTTGGTAGAACGCATGTAGATGTAAAGGTGAACGTTTAGGAAAGAGGTTTAAAAATTGTAGGCGGTTGAGTAGGTAACGTGCTCGCTTTTGATGCCAGAAGTCATATGTTTTGTGCTCATTGTTGCTCACCCCGTGAGGAGTATTGCTTACGCAGCTGGGCTTTGAAATTGTAAACGAATTCTTTGCATTATTTAGGCTTAGAATAAAATTATATCTTTTACTGTAAACCTAAGTAATAATTAACTAATATAATTCTTATTATGAGGACTTATTGCGAACTCCCAACTTCATCCACTTTTCCAGTTAAACATGAAAGACTACCTGGACTAATTAATATTCGTCCACAGTGGTGGACGTTCACAAAATGCACTCATCTTAATCAACATGATTCTGGGAGGTGTTTTTCTCGCTTTTCCAAGGTAGGCACTACAATTTGCTCACGTATTATATTTTTTTAAAGAAAGATGGGTGTTGTGTTCGTTGTTAGGGTCTCGATTACTTTTTTTACCTCATTTCAGGGCACTATTTGCTTAAACAGTTTGAATTAAGAAAGAAGTAGCGAAATTAAAATATCTGTGCTGAAAATCTCTGGGTTTGTGGTCTAAATTGGGGCTTTTCCTCAGAGGACGTTGTATTGTGATAGATATGCTGTGTGCTTTGAAAGAAGTCTTATTTCTTTGCGCGTGTGCACGCTTCTATTTGTTCCGTTTAAATAGGAGAACAATGCAGTGCTTAAAGTTTAATCTTAAATTCCTCTTTGATTGTCGCATGATTTCCGTGGCGGTGGTTAGAAGGGTGAAAGTGGCTACATCGGATTTAATCTTCATCTCTGTCCTCCCTGCCCTTCACTTACGCGAATTTGGTCAAGGTTGGATTAAGGTCACTGAGGTTCACATGGTATAAAGACCAGCATTAAGTGCTGCTAACCTGTTGATTAATTCTAACCGTTTTAGATTTTGAATCAGTGTGAAAATTTACTATCTTTAATTACCCGTGTCTAATAAGGCATAAAACAGTTGCTTGGAGGAATTAAGTAGTAAAATCAGGGTATCAAGTCGTATTTTATTTGGATTGTATAATCGGGGAATTTATTTATGATATGATTTATGATATTTTTCATTAACCCCTCAGTTGACTTAGGCTTTCACGGGGGNGGGGGGGGGGGGACGGGAGGATGATATGTTTAGGATTTAGGACAGTTAGCATCAGTTCATTAGTTGTCTCCTGGCTTCCCAGTATCCCTGGGTTTCCCTAGTTGTCTTTAGGGTTGGACACCGAATCAGGTGGGTCTTCCCCATTTCCTCCTGTAGGTCTCATAGGGGGCATGTTGGCTGAGCGTATTCTCTAAAGGTGCTGCGCCGCGCAATCATGCCCGGTACGTAGTCTAAACTCAGCAACGGCTTTGATTCTCGGCCAGTCGGCTATGTCGGAGAGTGCCACTGTCCACTACTTCTCTGTTGTTCACCAGTCGGCTATGTCGGAGAGTGCCACTGTTTCTCCTTTGTTCGAGCTTTAATTTCGTTGCACATTGAGGTCGGTCTCTCCTATAAGTTCGTTTCACCTTGAGGTCTTGAATTCTCTCCTGATTAATGTCGTCATTGTGTGGAAAGACATTGGCCGGTCTGTGCCTTACAAAATTGTAGTCCTCTTCTTAGCAAGTGTCCAAAATGTCCAGGGATCGATTGTAGAACTGTTGCTTTGTTTTCTTCTCTCAATAACTGACGCACTTTTTTACATTCGTATATCTCGGATGTTTTGGGTGGCTCTTTTTCCAATTGAGTTTATTGCTGCCCGTGAGTTCGAAAGAATTACTGCTTTGGTGAATTTCGCTTTCTGGCAGCACAATTGGCCTGGTGCTATCTTAATGACCTTTATCTCTCCTTCGAATGCGGATCTAACCATTCTTTCCATGAGTTTAGCCAGAACGCTTGTGAGGGAGATAGGCCTATAATTGTCAAAGTTTCTAGGGTCTTTGCCATTGGTTTTCTTGGCTTTTGGCCCCATTCTAATTAGAAATTCCGGATGAACACCGTCTTCGCCAGGAGACTTTTTGCACTTTAGCTGTTTTATCGCATTAATAAGTTCGTGAGAGCTAAATTGTTCAGTAAGTACATTATTTTGCTAGCAAGGTCTGAATGGTTCAGTAAGTACATTATTTGGTATTACCGTGTCCTCCTTACTTTCACCACATCATTTGGTGTTGCGTCTTCCTTAATTTCACCAAACTTCTTGTATCTTTAAATCTCTTGAAGATTTTCTGACAAAAGACTATTTCTTTTGCTTGTAGGAATTGAACCTCGCAAAGTAGTTAGCTATTTGGGACTCGGTGATAAGCAGCTTGTTGTTTAAGCTTATTGGTTCTTTCTTTGGTCTTTCCCTGTTGTTTCGAAGGTTACCTAGGAATTTGAAAGTGCGTTGGCTATCACTTCGATAGTTGATATTGGATATGAGGTTATCAAAGGTTGTCCGTTTAGCTTGTAAGATGGCTTGCCTCAGGACAGTTGACTGCCGTCTCCAGGCTCATACATCTTCCGTACTTCCAGTCTGATCAGCAGTGTTGCGAAGGGCGTCGCGCTTTCTTTTCAGTTTCTCAAGGTGTTTAGGCCAGAACACTCTACAGAGTTTAGTCTTGCCTTGGGGAATAGTTTTTTTGCACATCTGATCATAATATTTGTGCCATTGTCGCACAGTTTGTCTGGATGCTGGTTGAATTTGATGGGACTTGCGTGTAGTTTGTTCTCTAAAAGGTTTGGGAGTCTAGGCCAGTCAGCCTTCTTGAAGTTCCATGATAGCTTAGTTGGCACTTTCCTTGTCATGCTTTTGCTGCCTATGGTAATACTAGCAATTACTTTTTTGTGACCAGAACCATGGTCGTCAATTATTTTGCGGTGCGTATGCTCGCTGATGTCGCTTGAAGCCAGGAGCAAGTTAGGAGTTGTTCCGGTTCCGTTGTAGTGCAAATATGTAGCAGGATCCTCATTGCCATAAATAAGTTCTAGTGGGCTGCTGTTTAGCATGTCTTCGATTTCCTTTCCAGCGATGTTTATGTTCTTATAGCCCCATCTGGTGGAAGTCTCCTGGTTCTACAGTTTGTGTAAGATTTTCAGAATATCGAAGTTGGGTCTATTCTGGGATGGATTATAGACCGCGTAGTAGTTTTGACTTTTCCAAACATTTAATTCGGTTATTTCGCATATGTTTTGTGTCGAGCCCATACTCTTGATTAGATCGTAATGTGAGGTGAGGCCTTGTTTTACTCCAGTCAGATTTCCACTTACAACTTGCCGGTATTTAGGTAGATTGTACAGGGTGTAACCTGGGAATTGGTAGTATTTGAGTTTGTCATCAGTAAGGCTGGCTTCCATGATTGTGAATATGCCTATATCATAGGTATGCAGGATTTTCTGAATTGGACCGTCTTGTCTTGTGACATCCCTCCAGCATTCCACTGAATGATCTGTAGAAGTAGTGATTCGCCCTGACAAGGGTGATTTCTCTTATAGTTTCGTTTCAGGCTGATCATAATAATTTTGAAGTAAACTGCCGTGTTATGGACTTTTTTGTCGTATGAGTATACGGGGTCCAGGGTGCACCACGTGAAAGTAAATCTATTGTACACCCCAGAATCGGGGAATTGCTATTGCTCTCTTTCATAAGGAGTGAGGCATAGTTGGTCGTGACATCCATATTCAACACTAAATAGTTTCGTCCAAAATGAGGTCGATAAGTCGGGCACATGTGGATAAAAAATCTGATGATACTCACCATTCAAAATGTGGTAAATTGAGGTACAATTTCTTAATTATTTCGGAATTGATTGATTAACCGTTTGTGCTTAATTTTATGACCATACATTAAACCAATTGGAATTAGACTGGTTGGGTTTGGGTAAACTTGATTATTGTTGCGAATAAGACTACTGGTCACTTCCAAGAATCATTGTCACTCACTTTAACATCGATTGACAACAGTTAATGTTGACAGCTAAATTGCTAAAGTGCTTATCCCTTTCCCTTGTAAAAACATTCATTTTATCCTATCAAGACCTTACTGTTGGCTTAGATTGAAAGCTAATGACAGTACAGACCGATGAAGGGGTGTGGTATCGTATCACAAAGGAACTTTAAATGGCATATTTTTTATTGATTCAAGGTCATAGTTAGCATAAGGATCTAAGTCATTTGCATAAATAGAGTGATTCTAAATTTCCGCAAAAAATGTCTTTTTTCCACGGCATTTCAAACTAATTTTCGCTTTTTAGATCTATTACGCGCTTTTGTTGTGGTATGTAAGCGCGTTTCTGGGTCCACTATGCTAATAGTTTGTGCTGATGAACATCGAATCCCTGCCCTCACGCTTAGTATTCATGCACTTTGAGTGCAATACTAAAGGCCGTCCTTAAGAAGTTATGTTGATTCATACCATAAGTCACTAAAGTCTTATTTGTCATTTTTCTAGATCTACGTGAATGGGGAACTAGTAAGCTGTATAGGGGAGGGCGGAAGTTTCGGTGAATTGGCTCTCATCTACGGCACCCCTCGAGCGGCTACAGTGAAAGCACGGAGTGACGAGGTTAAACTATGGGGTATTGATCGTGATTCCTATCGACGTATCCTCATGGGCAGCACCATTCGCCGTCGCAAAATGTACCAGGACTTTTTAGCTCGCGTCCCTATACTAGGTACGTTATACTGTTTGACCCTCCTACTTGTTTATCTGCAGCGGCATTCAGTTAGTGCGTTGTTCACAGCACTAAACTCCTTATCAATATATCGGATCGACCAAACACCCACCTCAGGGTCCCTTAGCTACCTATTAAGAAGACTGGGGAGAGGGAGAGAGAGAGAGATGAGATGTGCCTATTCACCTAAACCAGCTGCTTTCTTATAACCAAGCAATGACTCTCTGAGTAGGCATCAATTGTCGTTGCGTTGCAGTATGCACAGGGTTGAAACACAACCAAGCCGCTTTGTTTGAGTAAGCATTGAAACCCAGATTGAAAGACTTTTATATTGTGCTGGTGCTACAAATCTGGCAATGGAAAGTTAGTAGCTGCAAAATTCGTTTTCTATGGAGATAATCAATTTCCACAGGCTGTCACCAGGTTTCCTATCATCCTTTTCGCTATTTGGGCATGCATTGTCCATTACAGCTTGATGTTTGGTTTGGCCTCTGGGTGTCACTACTTTGAGGACAGCTTTTATTCCCACTTAATGTTTTGGTTTGGCTAAGGTCTGTTTTAACCTCTTCTCTATTCTAGTTAAGCGATATCTACTTGACAAATGTATCATAGTAGTAGAACTAAATCTTCTAAAAGTCCTATAGCCTATAAATGTCCTCCTTTACAGTGGGTGAGAATTGTATGTAACGAAATGCATTAGCTTCAGCGACTCCCCATCCTGAGTGTTTCCAATCTTAAAAGAGAGCATTTGTATCACATCCGCATCATTATTCAGTAGTTTGAATTTCCTCTTAGTGTTAGACCTGAGCAGATATTTTCCCTCCTAAAGATATGATCGCCTTTGATTGTAATTGGGTCTGTGGTTTCCCAATGTATTTTTTGTTGAAACTGCTTGGAATTTCATATAATTTTTTACTTTAATAATGTTATCTTGATTCATCTGAAAGATAGCAGCAGTTTTGAGGCTTCATCTTGCCTAGATTTGCCTATCAAGCATTTCAGTAAAAAAAGCTTGATGTCATATTTGGGGCTTAAAAAGGATGCACATTTGAGATGCTGGGTATTATAACCCATCTCGTCTCTATGGTTTATGGATGGTTGAATAAACTTTTACCAAATATTCTTATTGCTAATGCTCCGTCTTATTTCAGATAATCTCGAAAAATGGGAACGTTTAACAGTTGCCGACGCATTGGAACCAGTTCGTTTTGATGCTGGAGATCGCATAGTTCAGCAAGGCGACCCCGGAGACGATTTTTACATTATTATTGAGGTTTGTTCAATATCCTCATTGCAAATTTGTTTTGTGGCTGGCGCGTAATCTCCCACGTATTCGTGTACACTACTACTTAATTAATATCAGCAAGGAATAATTTTTGTCCATGAACTTGTGCCGGAGCGGTCATTTTAGCATGACTTATGTAGTAATAGTGGGCAGGTTTGTTTGGTCCTATTGCTGTCTTTGTTATTAAACACAAGTGAATTTGCTTGTTTAGATTTTAGCTGCCTGTAAACTGTTATTGTGCTGCTGAATTTGTTCTTCGAATCATTGGGGGTCAGATAAATTATTATAAGCCGATTAAATTTATCGTGCGCAAATGGGGCTTTTACTTTACAATAACTCATTTTTAATTGGGGTTATTCAATAATCAAATGATTTTATTATTATTATTATTACCCAAATCAATTCAATAAATTACACGCATTGATTGTGGACTAGCGTCTGAGTTTTCTCAATATCACAATAGGACAAGTCAAACAAAACTTTAGATTGAAATCTCGCCTTATTTTAAATTGTGGAAATATTTAGTTCAAAACCTTCTTACAATGTTCAAAGTCACTTTTTAATTTCGCATTGTTTCAAAATTCAATTTCAGTGGTTTGATCTTCTTAGTTTCAGGATAAGTTCCTGCTCGCAATAATCCATGTTTTTTTTAATTTAATAAATTCTATTTAATTAAATTCATTTGTACCTGTTTAGTCATAAGTGGGTAGTTACGTCTGGCTAGGCCATTCAAAACATGACAGAGCTCACCAGGCTCCACTCGATGCAAACTCAACTTTTTCGACTCGATATTGGCTATAACATCTTTTCACTCGCGGAACAAAAACTTCCGTTTTTCCTTTCTATTAATAGCAGTTGTGTCAGTAGTTGGTACTGACGCTGTATAATTACAACTTATCTCTTTCATGATTAGAATGCACTGTTTTGTGTGCGCGACAACGTTACTTTTCGCAAGATTTTCATCCTTTGTACCTTCCTCTATTTCTGAATTTGGTATTAAAGAAAAATAGTGCCTGGTACCTATCAATTTCTAGTTAGAGGTGTCTATTATCCTACAAAAATATGTTTATTGTTAAATAGGATAACGGCGTGTGGACATGTCTCTTGTATCATTATGTTTTCTTGCCCTGGGGTGTGCGATAGACTTACCTCCACGTGGTGCACTCTGGGCAACTTATACTCATACGGCAAAAAAGTCTATTGACTGGCAGTTGACTTCTCACTTCAAACTACCAAGACCCCACCGCATTTCATATTCGACTAATTCCACAGTACTCACCTTTTTTCTACCTTTGTGTCTGTCTGTCTCTTTTACGTCTATGAATCATTATTCTGTCCCCCCCCCTCTCGAATTTTTGCCACTTTGGTGTTCCTCTTCCTTTCTGTGAAGCACGATGTCAACTAAAGGGCTAATGATACCTATCATAACGCCTGCCATTTGAAATAAATAAATAAATGGTTTCTTGCCCTACTTAATTTGCCGCGCATTGGCTATTTCCATTACCTTACGTATTATATGTTAATGCTTATAATGCGCATCGTAAATTCGCATACCCCTTACGTATTAGCCACAGCAATCATAGGGCATTTTACAACTTTACTGTAAAAGTGTGCACTCTTATATAAAACATCACTACAAATTTCCAACTAGATAAGTATTAATAACTTTTCCTCAATTTGAGTGCTCCTTCCTAGATATTTTGATGAGAAATGCCCACCATACCAACTCCACTTTTTTACTTTATTGAAGC